CCAACAAAATGGCTTACGTCCCTCCACCACCACCAGCATCCTCTTTTCACGGCATATGAGAGTATTGGGAATGTCCCTAAAAAGCCTCCCTGTCCAGAATGACTTGCAGGGCCATGTCACCCGTGGCTATGCCAGATTTGCTAGTCACAGGCGACACATCCTCTACCTGACCATACTTGGCAAAGAATCCTCCTATCCTGTCTGCTCCAATGTCTATAGGCACCCCATGCACCGTGATCTTTGTTCGGCGGGTGCCCATATATTCCGTCTGCATACGAATTGAAGTTGTTTGCAGTATGCTTGCTGACAGTTGCTTGGCTTCCTGCTCTGTAGCTAGGAGGATGTCCCACATGGCATTTGATCTTCTGGCCAATAATTTGGGAGCAATTTTCAGGCTTCTGAGTGCCTCCTCCATACTTTCCCTACTGAAGCCAGCCAATTTCCGGCTCTTCACATCTGCTGTCAGAAGGGAGATGGTTTTTGTTTTACTCCATCGAATGCTTCTTGGATCGTCAGGAATTCATTTCCTTTGACGAATTCACCATATTTCTCTCTTTGTTCCTGATAGTAAGCGGCGTTCTTCCTTTTCGGACTGTCTCCGTCCAGGCCGATGTTTTTTATAGTGGCGACGGTGTGTCAGTTTGCACCGTAGGAGACGGTGTAGCTTGAAGAATGTCCGCCATGGGGATTTCTCCCCACGGCAGTTGCACGAAAAAAAAAAAAAAGGTTCGCCTTTACGTTCTTCTTTTTTTCTTTGTTAAGAACAATAATTAACAGACAAACTAAAACCAAGTAAAACGGGGAGAAACGAAAATAAAATAAAATAGAAACTGTGTGTAAAAACAACACGTGAAAAAAAACAAAATCAAATCAACAGTTCAAAATGAAAAATAATTTAAACGAAAACGAGGGGAGGGTCAAAAATAAAGAAATCAAAAAGCAATGCACAAACTCAAAAACGTACAACAAAAAGGTGTGAAAATAAAAATTTTCAAACAAAAACAAAATCTAACCGTTCACTTTTTTTCCCAATCACGATGCACACGTCAATCGAAAATACAACAATATACTAGGGGATGAACTTAATGCAAACCCTGCAAACTAACTGATGAATCAAGCTGGTATTTATATAGAAATACCTCCACTCAGGTACCAGCAGCCAATCACAGCCCAAGCAATGGACTATCCCACTTTAGCACAATGAGATGCTCCATGGCAACATAAATAGCTCTCTTTCTAAAGGTTGGATTATTATTCACTTAGCTTGCTCCACAACTGAGTGTTTATCTCTACCATGTGTTTTTTCTACAATTGTCTATACTGATAACCCTTAGTGTATTAAAAAAATGTAATGAAGTCAAAAAAAATATACACTATCCATGATACATGTTTATTTTCTTTTATATAATTGTTTTTAACGTATATATATTATTTACATTATTTGGACTATTGTCCTCATCTTTGTCGTCATATCTATTACGTTTCAGCTGTTGTACGCTCCGGCCTTCTTCAGGTGGTTTGAATGTTGAATTTAACCCTTTATTTCGCTCACTGGGGTACACTGTTCTAGTTCCACATGCCATGTCTAATGGATGTCAGTTATCAGTTATCTCCTGTTAATTTTTCCTCTGAAAGTTCTCCACTGCCTTAACCGGGTATTGAACTCACACTCTTTGGGTCCTGTCACTGGATCTAACCAACACCTTTATCCACTGTGCCATGTGTCATTCCAACCACCTGAAGAGGCCGGAGCGTACAACGGCCAAAATGTTGTAATAAATATGGTGACAAAGATGAGGATAATAGTCCGAATAATGTACATAATACCTCATCTCAGAAATATAGACACACACACACACACACACACACATATATAATGGACTCTCCTATCAGTTTCAACGTATGAGGATCTGACAACCAATTGATTCAGTTATGAATTTTGTGTGATAATCTTAAGTGGCACTTAAGACCCGCTAGTGATTTACAAAGGAGGCTGCATATGGAGCAAGAGTGAGGATTGTGGGATGAGGTCACTGTTAGATTGGCTGACCTTTTAGATCTTGCTCTTGCTTCTTGAAAACAATTCAAACTAGCAGATTGAAAACTGCTGAGTCCACTAAAACGCATTGATCTCCACTTGACCCACTCCAAGGCTAAGCACTCGAGGGTTTTATGAGGTATATTGACAGCTGTGTACATTAGGATCTTGGGTATCATGTCATCAGACATTCTCAAGACATATCCATCACAACCGAGAATGTATGAGGAAAATCTCGATTCCTTCAATATTACACCTATTAAACAGGTCCGCATTGGATGTCCTGTCTTGAAGGCTAACTCCACAGATGGCACACAAACAGCTAATATACACACACACACCTCTCTCTGTATATATATATATATATATATATATATATATATATATATATATATATATAATTAATTATTTATTTAAAAATATGATTCCAACTTGCGACATAAGAGGTCTCATGTTTCAAAACAAGAGCCAAAAACTTCAATATAGTTATTTGAATTGAGTTAAAGGAAGCTCTTGTTTTGAAACATGAGACCTCTTATGTCGCAAGTTGGAATCATATTTTTAAATAAATAATTATATTTATGCTCTACATTTGTATCGAGCACTATTTTTAAAAAATAATAACTAAAATACTAAGGAACTTTGGATCTACCTAACCAGTTCTTTCCTATTTTCTATATATTTTCACACACACATATATATATACACACACACAAAGAGACAGTTAATAAAAATATATATGTATACACACACAAAGAGACAGTTAATAAAAATATATATGTATACACACACAAAGAGACAGTTAATAAAAATATATATGTATACACACACAAAGAGACAGTTAATAAAAATATATATGTATACACACACAAAGAGACAGTTAATAAAAATATATATGTATACACACACAAAGAGACAGTTAATAAAAATATATATGTATACACACACACTTGGTGCAATGTATAAATTACATTAAAATAAAAATAGCACTGACATTTCGTTTTAACAGATATATTTACCAAAATTACACAAAAATATCTTGAAATACTAAAGAGTAAATTTATTCTATAAAATTGCCACTGGCTTCAATCACGGCCTCCAGATGACTTTGGAATCTCCTGCAATTCTTCTGGACAGTCTCCCAGTTTAGATATTTCTAAACAGGTTTGGCACCATGCATGACATTCATATGAATGCCTTAATCTGAAGAGGCTATTTAAGAACATGTCTCCTATACTAAATTTGTCATGTTTACTTTCAGCTCCCATATAAATGATGCACACAGTAAGGGTGGTATAATGGATAATAGCTCAGAATTGTTTATCAGAGAGCTGAGTTCCAATTCCCATTGAGTTTGTTATATTATGTGCAAATACCTGTAGGAAAGGTATGAATCCACCTCTTCTTCCCTCACCTATGGATTAATTAGTAAGACTTGTATCGCTAAACCATTATCTCAAAAAAAAATTCTTGCAGTCTAAAAATATTTTCTGGCTTTAAATAACCTGCAAAGGGTTGATAACCCATAGAAAATGAATGAATCAATCAACAAAATGTATTTGTCAAACATCACACTTGCATCATAACTTGTATAGTTTTCTTCAACTTTTTCATAAATGGTATTTATTATTTATGAAAAGCAATTCTATCCATTAATATACACTAATATACAAAACGTTTACTTTCAGCTCCTATATAAATGGCACACAGTGGGCTTGCGCAACTGAGCCAAGCGGACATTTGTGGTGTTTTGAGCCACCTGAATGATTTTCAACTCAATTATGGAAATATATTAATGTTATTTGTCCTTAAGAGGAAGATTATAACAAAACTTTGGCATTTCTAAATAAAAAATAAGGATTTAGATCTAGAAACCTTGGCCTACAGTCAGCGTTCCTGAAAAGAATTTAAATGTTGTATTTAATTCATTTAGACTTCCTTTTTGGGAATATTCAGCACCATAAATGGATTTGGAAAGAAAATTAGGAATAGAAGTCTAGATCATGATTTTCTGATGAATACAAGGAAAGTGATGTTGAAAAGTGACATTTGGTGCCCAGCATTTTCTGCCAAAAGCATGAAAGGAACTGAATATATTTCTAATTTTCTTCCCAAGAACAATTTTCTTAAATTTTGCAGATTGTTTTAATATTTGGAAACTTACACTGAAAAGAGAAACTATTTTATCTTGGCTAGGTTTTTGTTTGTGTTATTTGCAGTTGCAGGGACAGAGACTTAAAAAGCTGGCAAAATATGGCAGTTTCTTTAATTTGATTGTTCCAAAACCCATTTGATATAGGTCATTTTGAAAAAAGTGTAGAGTTAAACCCGTCACTTATAACAGTCATTGTGACAATGGCTTCAATTTTCCTAGCAAAATGGTTGCATAAAAAGCAACTATCAACGACTGATCATATAAAAATAAAAGTTTAAACATATATGAATTTTGATTAAATTACCTCCTTCTATACATGTGCAGTTCTATCCTGAGTAAGACAACAAACTACATCCGACAGTAAGGCCTCTGAACAGGTTTTGAGGAGCGTGGAACCATCTCCTAATTGTCGGTGTTTCCAGGTTCACCCTGACCTGGGGTAGTAGCACTTGTTAGGGTCCTAGCAATGGGCAAATAGTTAACCCCCTAAGTGGTGTTAAAACACTATGAAAATGCAAAAATATGTTTTAATACCAGAAATACTTTATCTCCTATACATGTGCAGTTCCGTCCTGAGTAAGATGATAAACTACATCCGACAACAAGGCCTCTGAACAGGTTCTGAAAAAAAAAAATATTACCAGCAATAAAAATTTTGCTGGCATTAAATAACCTATTTGATGGTTGATATCAAACATGTGCAGTTGTTATGAGACAGTAGTTATCATTCTTACTGAAATATTTTTCTATTCCGTTTTTTTTTTCTCCCTAACTAACATTTCATTTTTTTATTTTTATTTTTTTCAGGTGATCCCAAAAGTCTCCTCTGTTGGTGAGGAGCTCCACCATCTCGAAAAGGACCGATCAATCTCAACTGATCCAACAGAAAGTCGAAAAAGGCGGACAATCCGGCTGATTCGCTCCAACTCCTCATGGGGATTTACCTTACAGGTCAGGATTTCTTAATGTAAAAATGTTTAAGCATTTTTAGTATATCTTCTGCTTTCCTTTATGCTGTTAGAACTTTCTCATTTACTCTACCTTGAGTGATTTTTGGGCCTTATATTGGGTGTGTGGAGTAATTGGGCATGGTTAAGTGTAATCAGTAAAATGCCCAACAAAAGGAATTGACAAAGCCAGAACATTGTGAATATCGCAATAAAGATGAGAATGACAGTCCAAACAGTGTAAATAGCTACAATACCACATCTCAGAAATATAGACAGATCCTGATGAAGGCCAAAGCGTACAACTGTTGAAATGTTGTGAATATGACAATAAAGATGTGGTCAACAGTCCAAACAGTGTAAATAGCTACAATACCTCATCTCAGAAATATAGACAGATGATGAAACAGATTATCACCACTTGGCACTGGCCTCAGTGTCCACTTCTATATTTACATATGCTTGACCTAAGATATAGAGAAATTTAACCTATAAATATGGCATACCTTAAAACTATATATGTACAATGTCATAGAACCGCATTACGAATTTATGATCTGTGTCTGCTATTCTGCAACCATTATTGTCGCATAGTAAACTTCTATGTAAACAAAACAGTATGTCATCTTTGATGGTGAACATGTCTGTTGTAATGTCCATATAATCACTCTGATGATGGCTCATGTGAGCCAAAAGCTTAGATTGATGACCTATATAATAAAGAAATATCCAAATGTTGGACAGTTTTTGTCTTTATTTACTCTTGAAACTAAAACTAATATATGACACTTGAAAAGGCTCATGATAAAACATAATAGACATTTGTTGTCTGTTATATTTAACAATATTTGTCTGAATAAATCAAATCTTGGCAAAGAAATGTAACAGTAATAATGCAAAAGGTCTACATGGCTCTTTAGCCTTATATTCACTCTGTTATGTAATTGGCCATGGTTAAGAGTAATTGTGTAAGTGTAAGCATTCTCAAAGCAAATTTGTCGCAGATTACTTTCACAACATAAAGAAAAATCACTAAGTACAGACTCGAGTATCAGGGGCAGAAAGAAATGCTGAAAACTCGATTCGCCAGGACTATCTTAAATCACAATGCGTGTAACCAGTCAGGAAAATAACTCACTCTCCAACAAACGCCGTAGCCAAAAATGCCCAAATTTTCCTTCCTCCGAATCGAGAACACCAACTGCTTTTATCGAGGTACTCGAGTCTGTACTTAGTGATTTTTCTTTGTGTTGTGAAAGTAATCTGCGACAAATTTGCTTTGAGAACGCTTACACTTACAAGCTATTTCGGCAGAACCTATTTTTTCATTCGTCGACAGCTGGGATAGGATGCTCCATAATTTGCATATCAATATGCTCTTATAGCGACTCCTGCGACGGACTTGTTTCTTTTTCCGTCACAGAATACACGCGACGCGCTGTCGCTTGGGTTGACGAGATAAGTCGCCGTTTTCTTCGCTATAAGATTTTTGCTGACTACTTTTTGGTAATCCTTCTTCGGCAGATTGCACACAAAACACGAACTTTTTTCCGGGGTACCTGATTATCTCTTTCACTACAAATTGGCAACAAACAAAATTGTTCCCAATAAACAATTAAAAAAAGGAAGAAAAAGAACAGGCCAAAATAATACTAAGTAAACAATATACATGGTATCCATTGTTATGGTGAAACACACCTATTCTATAGTTAATAGACTCTCCCACCTAATATAAGTAGGAGTAGTAAGAGAAACAAGGGTCAGTCGATGTCGGATGACAGTCGAATATGAAAGTAGTCGGCGACCACAACAAGATTACTCTGCATAATACCTATTATATCAAGTTCCTAACGTTTTGTACGTCAACCTATTTTAGGACCGATTTTAGTACAAATACAAGCCTCCACTGCAAAATAACTCCACAACATCTATAAAGTCTCTTTACAATTTATAAAAAAATATTACAAAGGCTGGGATATCTTAATCAGATTTTGTTCTATCTATGCAGTAATTATCAAAAATTTAATCACATTGCATTCGTGTATTTCAGGTAACCTGTTGATGAAAGAGGTACAGTTAAATGAACCCCTTACATCTTCAGACTGGTGGATTGGATGGGGGTGGCCTAATTCCCTGGCCCTATCATTCAGATGTCACTCTCTTGGTCTTCTTTCAATGAGGTTATGTTAAAGATCTTGTGTCTTGAATAAAGATACAGGGGACATCACTGATCTAAAGCAAAAGATCACTGATGCCATTGCCACCATTGACGAGGCTATGCTAGAGTGAACATGGCAAGAAATCTAGTACTGTCTTGATATTGTTCATACAACTAATGGTGCCCATTTCGAGCTGTATTAAATTAGTTATAAAAAACTTCAGTGTCAGCTCCTCATTTTGTAACAATTTCCACATCTGTTCATTTGCTTTTGTAATAATTTTTTTAAATTGTAAAGAGACTTTGACACCCTGTATATGCAAGACAAAACTAGGCAAACGAAAATAAGACACAAGGTTTGCAAAGTAAGATTGGTGTTCACATGCAAAAGGGATACAGTCAAGTGATTGTAGCATTTTGACTTCAAGACAAGAAAGAACAAAAATATGATTCAGTCAAGTGATTGTAGTATTTTGACTTCTAGAGAGAACAAAAATATGATCAATGAGATTGAAAATTGGTCTATTTTTATTGGTTACAAAGAAATCCCATCATGCATCTGTAGAATTTGTCTATACATTTGGGGAGGAGATGTTTTTTTGGATCATTCCTATTCAATAAGAACTAACAAGGTAAACAATAGTAAGACAAAATTCAAATGAATGTTACATTCTATGATGATCAAAGAATTTTCAGCATTCAATGAATATTTTAAACTATCCACATCTTTATTAATGTTTTTGTCAGACTTTCGGATCATTTATCAATATTTTTTTAGATATTTTTGACTATCCACAGCTCATTATTCTTAACCCAGTGCTTGCAAGATGCTTACACATTTCCCACTAAAATACTAGGAAATTAAAAATTTTAGAACATGAAGTTTGCATGTATTTTGCCGACAATAGCCAAAGTTGGGGGTAACAGTAAATTATAAATGTCTTTGTTCAGTTTACAATAAACTAAGCATTTGAAGATTCTTTTTAAAAAAATCTATCCAATAAAAACACATCTAGTCGGTGGTACACACCAAGCAGAGATTTTACTAGCATGTAGAAAAACCATAGTAACACCAGTGCTTGAAAAAAAAAAATTTTTTTAGCACATAACACCAATTACATTGGGAATTGGGATGAGGTTATTTGAAAATATTGGCTGAACATTCTCATTGAGCAGAAATACAATTTTGAAGATTTTGTTGAAATTAATCCCCAAATCTGAAATGAAGTCAAACATGAAACGCAAGACAATGACAAAGAAATGGTATGACCCATCCACTTTTTAATGGTCATTACAAAGCTATTTGAGAGAAATTTAACTTTGGTTCTATGAATATCTCATAAGACAAATCTCTCCTGACTTTGCTCACCCATTACCCCCACCCCCCAAAAAAACCTTAACAGTCAGTCCTGTGAGTCTCTTGGAATGTTCACATAGAGATGATCCTATTCCAATCTGTTTTCACATTAACAGAAGTTCTTAACTATGTTTCTGTTAGGTGGTGTTGTAGTAGAGAAGATTGCCTTCTAGTCTCATCTATTCTCACTTTAACATAAAAGCCTTAACACCCAGTGTTATGATTCTGTTAGACTGTGTTTTTGTAGCGGTGATGATTCCCTTTGTATATCATTTGTTCTCACACAAAACCTTAACATTCAGTTTTATTATTCTGTTAGACTGTAGTATTCAAATAGAGGAGATTATTCCATTTATAGTCATAACACATGACCCTAACACCCAGTCCTATGATTCTGTTAGTTTCTAGTGTTCTAGTAGCAGAAATAATTTCTTTCATATCTCATTTATCTACATATTAACACTCAATCCTATGATACTGTTAAATTATAGTTGTTTATATATATATATATATATATATATTATAAAGAGAGAGAGAGAGAGTGGCAGTAATGTGGGTGCTAGATAATTCACTTCAAATCTTATCTGTTTGCACATTAACACAAGTTTGTAACTTTGACGCTCAGATTTTAAACTGGGTAGAAGAAAAGTACAAAATGACATGAACACCAGGTGCAATATTTCTTCGTTAAAAGGTAAATTTACAGAAGAAGAAAAAAAACTGGAATCATCAGAAATCTTTGGAAATTTGAGAATGTCCAATTTCTCACTACCCCTCCCCCTCTCCCAATGCAATTTTTCTTTGTGCTTCTTTCTCTCCCTAGCTGTCTCTGGCAATGTTTTTATCACTTGCACAGGCACTTGACGTGTGTGTTAGGCTTTATGACAAGTTTAATTTTATCTGTTACAATGTACTATGTTTTGACTTGACGCCATAAGCACTTCCTTCATGCGTTCAAAACATGCCCTGGCTAAATGAGAATAGTTAAGATCTCTTCTTTGAGAGGTTTTTCAAGGCCAGATGAAGAGCTTCAGCAATGGCATGATGAACTTGTTAACCTATAAACATACTTTAGCAGAGCAGAAATTAACTAAGTGCAACTGGACACAGTGTAGCTGATAAAGTGATATGTATATGTACCAAATAGAAGTCTAAACTTCTCGGTATGTTTTGAATGAAACAAAACCAAACCAAAATATTGGGTCAGAACATAAGGTACAAGTGGATACAGTTTTATAAAAGTATTGCAGATAGTTTTTTTTTTTTTTATACAGTAAGATTCACCCTTTACAAAGCCGGGGGATCCACTCAAATAGAGGGTTATGTTAGAAAGCAGTTTGTGTGGATAAGAGTGGAAGATTATTTAGCCCTAGCCTTGAACAGATTAAAATTGTAGTGATCAGGGAAACATCCTCTTGGGAGTCAGTTCCACAGAGCAATGGTTTGAGGGGATAAGTAGAACTTACCTATCACCAATGTAATACGCAAG